CCCCCCCACCTCCAGGCTCTCCTAAAAACTAGACTATTAAAAGTGCAAAAAGAAATTAGAAATCAAGAAGGCCTGGGGAAAAGGCATGAGGCTAAAATGTGTAGTGTTAGCTTCTTAAACTTGTGTTTATCTATTTTAAGTAGGTATTTTAATTTTCAGAAAGAAAACTGAAACCCATGAAGCTTGTAAAGTAATCTTATGGAAGATCTGTTTGTTAATGACAAAATTGTTTTTAAAGCAATCATGAGATTAAATTAATCTTGTCTACACTGATTTTGTCTTTTAGGCAGATACACAGATTGACAGAGAACATCAAAACTTTTATGAAGCATCATTAGAATATGTTTTTAAAATTCAAGAAGTACAAGAGAAAAAGAAATTTGAATTTGTTGAACCTGTAAGTTTTATGTTTTATTTTCTTTATAATGCAAGCATTTAAAGCTGAAAATTAAATTTGAAATATCTTTTTTGCTCCCTTTTAAAAATTGTGGTCACAGCTTGTTTGTATGTGGACAGACACTAAGATCTCGGCCTGAGCACTTTCCATATTTATTAAAGGTTTGTGTAGGAGCATCATATCTACTGTGAAGTGAAATGTCTGATGACTTGGCGTGTGCATAATGTTTTAATGGGACAACATGTAATGTTGTGTCTGTACAACATATGGTGGGTGTTTCCTAATATCACGGTTTCATGGCTGAAATTTTGAGCCAGTTTTTGGATTTAAATATTCCATGTAGGCAGTGTACACATACGTTTTTCTGAGTTATACATGGAATAAAATGAAATCAGTTTTTCCGTAGGATAGGTAAGTTTATTTTTTTGGTGGTGCAGTCACTTGTCTTTAGTTTACCTTGCACATGAAGTATATGTTGACACACCATAAAAGAGGAAGATAAGGTTGTGTTTCAGAGTCTATATTTAGGACTGTGATTTTATCAATTACTCTGTTGCCACCCCCCATGCCTAACTATCTTCTGGGTCAGTCAGTACCCAAAGCTGCTTCAATATGATGTGCTAGCATATTTCTGTGGCACTCTAGTAGTATTGCTACTGTTCATGTCGTACAGGACTAACTTGCCAATTGCCTTGTTTCGTTAGTACCTGTAGTGCTTGACAGAGAACTCCCAACGTCATCTGTCCCTTCCCATTAAGCATATGAAGCAGAGCAGAGCATCACTTGAGAAAGAGGAACATGACAAGTATAACTTTTTCTGTCTCTCCACACCATCTTCCAGCTTCTGTCTAACTAACCGAAGCAGCACTCTGGACTGTGAAACAGGTTGAATTACATCTCTAACACCCAGTGTCACTATGAAAAGCTTCTCAGGTGCCTCCTTTCCATGAGATGAGAATGTGTTGTATAGTGAGTGTTTGACATTGATGCAAACTAATGAACCTGGATTCAGCAAGCAGTACTTAAAGAAATCCTATCTTCATGGCATACAGCTGCCAAATCTTAGAGACTAAAACTTCGCTCGGATTCCTAAATAAGAACATTTTTCTACCTGTCACAGATTAATCGAGAGTGTCTCTCTCTGTCTACTTCTGCAAAACTCTCACATCCTGGAAAAATCTAGCAATCTTGACCTAGCTCTGACCCTGTATAGGAGACTTTATGCTCCTTTAAAGTAATAGAAATGTCCTGTATTGAGAAGACTTTGTACATTGGGAAATATTATTGTGTACTTGTATATCATTGAAATGAGGCGTCTTTCATCCTATGTGCTAGACAGAGAGTAAGAATAAATTTGATTTTATGTATCTTAGCTGGAGATACTGAGCTTTATTCTTTTGACCAGGAGCTGTCCCCACATTATGTCAGCCATCACAGCAGCAGCTATAAATTACCAAAATGAAAGAACGATTTATTAATTCATCAATGCTGATACTGAACAAGCAAGCAGGGGAGGCTACTGCTAAACTCAGTCTTGTGGACTCCTGGGTATTTTTGTCATCAGGTGTACACATCCAGTAGGTAAAATTTAATTCTGAGTGGACCGGTTGCCATCCCGTGACAGATCAGTAGGCATTTTGGCTGCATATGCTGTTTGTTGCAAATAGATGTGGAAATTTGGCTGCATATGCTGTTTGTTGCAAATAGATGTGGAAAACACCCTAGTGACAGGGTAATGGTCACCCTTGCAGGCAGTGTCTTCTGGCTCCAGGCATGAGTTTTTAGTAATCAATCTGAATATAAATTGAGCTTAAATTATAACATCAGTTGCAAGATTTTGATCCTTCAAAATTCTTACTTTTTTGTTTCTAGTCTGTTACATAAAACATGCTGGAATAAAAGCATTTACTAAAACCCATAAGGCAAAGTATGCCATGTAAATTATAATACACATCAACAATACCTTGTGACAAAGGGAGGCGGGGAGGGGGAGTCTTCAGTGTAGGTTTTCTAAAAATGTATAGTTTATGTAAGCGATGTTGCTCCTAGCAGCAAGTAGGTTAGGACAAAGGCTAACACTTTAAAATCACATATCAAAAGGATTGCCATATTCCTTTTCCTCTGGATGCTGTATGAATGTTCAGATGCTAAAAGATGCCTGGTGGTATGTCTATATAGACATTTCTTCTCAGAAACTCTACTAATTGTGGGGTCTTCTACTGCGTGTGCTGCTTGTGTCTCTGATTTATCAGCTCAGTGTCATGTCTCCATATAATTCTCAGTCTGACATGTTACTAAGACTTTTGGAAGGAGAGTTTGACAAAATATAAGAAAGGTAATGCAGTGAAGGATGGAATTGTGATGCCTATATGGAAGAAGGATAAGTTCATGACATGGGAATAGAACTTGAAAAGCAAATGATCTGCTGGAGCTCCTTCCAAGAACTTCAGTTTGTCCAAGCCGAAAGATAAGGATGGTCTGGGAACCAGCGTGGCAGAAGCGGCCTAGCAAAAATTGCCAGGTGGCTTGTACCTGGGACAGTAGAAGTTGGTAAGAGTGAAATATGTTCCTTCCTGGAGGAGAGTGGGGAGAGATTTTAAGGTACAAAATATTAATGACTCATACTCTGAATAGAGGATTATAATATTTAGACTTTTGCAGCTGCTCCTCAGGCCCTGGATTTCTCTGTTGTTCTCTCCGTCTTGTCTCAGGGAGTTGCTAGAGAGTGAGTAACTGACAGCTGCCTATTTGTGATCCTCCTAGATCTTGATTTTTTTCCAAGAGGAAAAAACCTCCAAAGCTTTTCATACAGATGATGAATTTAAACTTCTTCTCAAGGACAAATTAGTGTTAAAATTTACTTTATAGCGAGTTAAACAACAAAACAAAGTAAGTGACAATTATGTCTGCCCCTAGCTTTGCCTTGTGGGCCTGGAGAAGATAGACCAAACCGAAGCAGCTTTCTGAGGATGTTACAGTTGTTAGGAGAAATATAAACTCCTTCGCAGAGCTCCACTTTGTCCCTCAGAAATGCCAGGACTTCCTTGGCCTGTAGGAGTCAGGGCACAGGGCTCATAAGCAGTAAGCTATTTGAAATGTGGGGGTGGTCTGTTAAATGTCCTGAAATCCCAGAAGTCTTTCTTTAAAGGGGGGGGAAAAAAAAAACAAACACAAAATAAAACCCAACCAACAAAGCCTGCCTGTAATTGTGTGCAGTTCCATGAGACTTCACTGTGGACATTAAACTCAATTTCCTCTTCCTTGGATTTTCTTCGTTATTAACTACGCTCACTTTAATCTGATGGATAAGTACCTTCTGGTGCTATCTACTTATAAATAAAATGAAATCAGGGAGACAGGGACTTCTGGCTGATGTGCTGCAGGCCAAAGGTTAAATTCCTCCCCTCTCCGAAACCTAAGTACAGTCTTCTTCCTGTGAGAATGAAATGACCAAGCAGTCTTGGGGTCACCAACTCTACATAAAAATAAATAAAGTCTCAAGGAGTAGTTGGATTTTGTTTCAGGTTCTGTGTTGAAATCCTCGCGGCGCTGGGGTAGCAAGTAGCATTGTATTACGGCGTTCAGACCTTGCCTTTCGTTGATGTGACTGATTAGGTGCTCAGACTGAGGTAACTGTAAGGCACTTGCTGGAATGAAAAATTGTAGATGTGAACACATCAGGCATTGTGCATGGTCTTTGATGAAACGAATCACTTCTCTACATGTGAAGACCACCCCAAAGTACATTCTGAAAATATTTTTTAAAATGAAAAATGGCTTTTTACTTCTCTTATTTAATATAAATTATGAGCCTGCCTTTAGCAGCAGTGCCACTTGCAACACCAACCACAAGAAAACCCCACTGTGAGCATAAGCCTAGGGCAAAAGTCCTTGGCTGTCAGACCTCCTCCATGCCATGCTACAGCTGTACCTGTCCTGATGGAAGTGGTTATGAAGATTCCTTAACAGCACAGGCCCCATGGGTACTGGGTGTTTCCTGAACCCTCTTCTCTACCACCACTAGTGACACGTACACAGAAGCAAACCCATCCTCAGTGTCAGCTGTTTCAACAAAGAACTTGTATAAACTGCTCTAGGACTTGCACAAAATGAGTATATTTTTACTTTTATTCCTGTTTTTTCTAAGTGCTCAGAGAGTATTTGACCAGGAGAACCTGAAGGCCAGATCCTTTGCTGTGCACAACTGCCAGGATACCTCAGCAGTGATTTAACAAAAATGCATTCATATTGTTCTTAGGGTTTTTTTCTGCTATTTTTGTGCTTGTTGATAAGTTCAGCTTTGCTGCCATCTTGTGTTACATATTTCTCCATGCACCCTGCAAAAGCATTTTGTATGGTGGAAAATTGTTTTTTTAAAGTATTGAAGCTAAAATTTAGATGGCTTATAGTACATTCTCCACAAATGCTCTTTAAAGATATTTAAAGTTCAGTCATAAGCTGACAAACTTTCTTCCATTATTTCCTTTACTGTAGTTTTGGTGTGCTCTGGCATTCTGCTCTGGCTGCAGTTCTGCTGAGCGCTCATATTGCTCCTGCAGTGCTTCTTTAGCTGCAAGGGGTGGGTTTAGCAGCAGGCTCCTACTTACAGGTTAAGTTAACCCACGTCCTTTTGAGTGAAACAAGTCAGAGTAAGCACAGGAGTAGATAATGCTGCTGTATCTAAAGGAGCTGTAGTTGAGGATTCGGATGAATAACTGCATCTAGAGTGTGGGCAGCGACTTTGCACACCTTGAGCTGGAGCAGAGCCTTGGTTAAAATTTACTTGCTTATTTTATACTTTATTCATGAAAAGAGAAGATTAGTTGTCTTTCTAGTGGAGGGTGGTTGTGCCCATGGCAGGAGGGTTGGAACTAGATGATCTTTAAGGTCCCCCTTCCAACCCAACCAGTCTATGATTCTGTGATTCTTTTCCTTCTGTTACATAATTCTTTCTAGAATTATGTTATAAACCTTAAAATTATAGAACTCTTTCTATCTGTTTACATAATTGGAAATTTAAAGGTAAATTGGTGTATTTGGACCTTCCTCAGAACCACCTGAATAACCGGCTAGAGGCTTCCAGGGCCAGGGATTTAGCTGGGAGAATGATTTCAGAGGATTACGGAAAGCTGAGACAATTCCCACAAGCTGTGGAGCCCTTCCCTTGACTGCTTTGTTTTCATCCTTGGGTGGGTGGTGGGAGGCGGTTCAGGAATTCACACTCATTGGAGAGGCCCTCAAAAAAGTGGCTTTTGTGCCCAAGGATCTTGTCAGTTCTTCAGGTTCCGTGACTGACTTATTGGGCAGACTTTTACCACCACTGCCTGAGGCTGGGGTTTCCTCTGATCCTGCAGTGCCAGTAAAAACCAAGGGGGAAGTCCTCCCAGCCATGCCTTCATGCTTCTGTTTGTGACGGCACTGATGGTCATTAACCTGGAACCTATTAACTCACCAGGGCAGCAGAACAGCAGGCTTCCCAAGGTAGAGCTGCTCACTGAAGGGATGGATGTGCCCGAGCTGGCACAAGGATGTGAGGGATGCGGGACAACGCTGAATGGGGAATGGGAGGAGCAAAGGGCAGCAGAGAGACTTCAGTATGCTAGCAGCTAGTCATCATGTCAGCTCCTCTAACGTGTGGAATTTTGCATGTTATAGGGTGTGGAATGTCTTGCGATGCTGGAATGGATGGGACTCTAAAATTGCAAAATATTATTTTAGCTATTCCCCTGAAATATATGTGTTACCTTAGTACAGCAATCTCATAGTGAGCAATAGGAAAGAGGGAGGCAGAACAATTTAACTACCTTTCTTCCAGCAGGGCTGAGTGTAAATTTATGGAAAATACAGACACAGTAAAAGCTACATTTTTAAGCTGTTGCACTTACAATAATCTGTGGTACTGGTAACACAAAGAAAAGTGCATAAAATATGACATTTTTGTTGCCTGTGTCTCAGCTACTTCAATAGTCGATGGAAAGGGATAAATATTTCCATTGGATCATTCATCCCATCCTGAAAGGGAAGTCTGAAAAAGGCAACAGCATTATGCTCTTGAATACCTGTGTTTTTTGACTGCGTTGGGAGGCAGCCTGTGCAGCCAGTTACTTAGCTTAGGTGATCAGTTTTTCCATGGCTGTAACATACCAAGATAAATCTGTCCTCTTGGCACAGCTTTTGTTATTGTACATCCAAGGTAATATCTCCTTTTTTTGTTTGTTTTCTTTACTTGGTTTTATGTAATGTAAATTACGTACAAAGAAACCCAGTCCATAATAAAAAATTTAATACTTGTTATTTAATAGCAAGTAAGAATACTTCAGCAATGTCAAAACATTTTTAAATTTAGAACAGAGTAAGTTAGAAGGCTTTTAAAACTAATAGGTGGTAGGAATTTATTAATTTAACAGCTAAAATAAGCATTCAGAAAATCTAGTTGCACTTTTAACTACTTAAACATTATTTTACAGCAAAATTAAAAAGGAATTTTCAGCCAGATACATACAGGCTTCAGCTGTTCTGTTGGAGTCAGCCACAGACATACTACAGAGAGTTTGTGTTTTGTTCAGAGCAGGACTAAAGAGTCTGGATTGCTTGTGCTGTATTAAGCTGTCCAAAATATACTTTCAAGAGTCTCATTTGTGGAAAATAGGTCACAGCCCAAGCAATTACTGTGAAGAATGTGAAAAAATATTTTGAAGAAAAAAACCATTGAACTCTGAAAGTCTGAACTCGGAAAGTGCACGCCCTCAAAGGCTCCAGCTGAAATACTGGACAAAATGACTAGGATAGTGAATTAAATGGAAACAACCACTTCATGACTCAAAAGCCTGTTTCACACCCCTCTTCCTTAAGGTCTGACCATGGATTCCTTGCTGACCAAAGCTTTGCTGTTGTCAATCATGAAAGCTTAGGGTGTTGCAGGAGCTAAGACAGAATGTGTTTTGCTGCTGGTTTGCCATGTTTTGCTGCTGAATACTAATGGAAAATCAACTGTTCTTAGGTTTTATTTCTGATACCCACCTGAACAGAAGGAGTGTGTAGCAGTTGCTAAGAATTATTTTGTCACTATCGCAGGCAATACCCACTCCTTACAAGTTAGTGTGTGTTCTGTTTTTTTTATATAGCATTAAGAGTGCGTGTTAAAAATATGTAATGCTTCTCGATTTTACCTTTTCAGCTCTTGGCCTTTCTTCAAGGATTATTTACATTTTACCATGAAGGATATGAACTGGCTCAGGAGTTTGCACCATACAAGCAGCAGCTGCAGTTCAATTTGCAGAATGTAAGGATGATTTTTATTTACACCATTTTGTTTGCTAATTTAATTTCAGGATATTAAAGTAGACCCATAGCACTTTATTGGGACTCTAAATCTTGCAGTAATTTAGGAAGCTGAAATCAAACTAATATATGAATAGGCAAAAGTTATTTTTGGGAAGTTAATTTAATGAAGATTTCTGTCAACAAATAACTTTGGAAAATTAGTCTTTGGATAGTCATTTTGCGATTTCCAGGTGAAAATTTTGGGATCAAGAACCAGAAAAGCAGGACAGCAGCCAAGTTTTGATTAGGAAACACAGTAGTCCAGATATGTTTAAACATGTGTAAATGCTTTCTTGAGAGTGGGGCCTTTCTTCTGTGGTAAGTGGATGTCCCAAAAATGCTCCAGCTGCTATAGAATGATGCAGTTTATTTCTTTAAGATCACAGATTGCCACAAAAAAACTTGTCCTGCTGTCTGCCAGGTTCCCACATGGGAAGCCATGAACATTCTCTTGAACATGCTGAATATGGCTGCTCCCTTAATTTATTTTGTCCACAGCAGACAACTGGCAGGGCCTTCCTCCATGGTGAGCAGCTCTCACAAGCTTTACATTCCAACAGAAGACAGGATCTGTAATTTGTGTAGAGAGTTACTCTCAACTGAGCAGATGGATATTTGGCAGGTTGGTCCAAATTTGGTAGTAAGAGCCATACAAGATTAACTGTGCCCAAAAATTCCATAGTTTTCAGAAATAACAAAAAGTATTTAATCAACATATTTTCCACTCATCGTAACTGTTGTAGAAAAGTTTGTATTTATTCCACTGGGTAACTCGGATATTAATGCTTCCAAGGACATACAAGTAAGTTGGTAAAAGACATCTTTACACCTGATTTGTATTAGAATCACTATCACTTGCTTTTAAGGCATTAAGTTCATATTGGGCCAGCCCTACGTTTTTCATGACAAGTAACTTCAAAGTAGAGACCAAATTTAAAAAAAAGAAAGGGGAGGAATTCTATCATTCATTCATTCACTCCAAATGCTGTATTTTGGGGATGACTCCATTTTTTTTTCATTTCATTTCATTCTTTCAAGAAAAGTCTCTCAACAGAAATTTTTGTAGCTTCACTAGAATCAAAGGAACTACAACAGTTTAGAAGATCTGACATTGGCTTTTGTGGATAGTGCCTTGGCTACTGACCTTAGGGAGTATGAAACAGGTCAGAGAATACAACAGCACCTTACCCTGCTCAACTGCTATTCCCTGTGGGTTACTGGAAAAATAAAACACTTGACGTTTTCCTTGTAGCATCTTGTTATTAGAGTCATATGTTGGCTTACAGTTGTAAGATGGCATTGCCTTAGCACTGTTAATGTATATCTGCATCCTTAGGAGTATTGCACTCTCCCGGGTTTTGCTGCAGTTAAACATGTGCAGCACACCTCCGTATTTCCTTCCCCTTTTATGCCTGTTGTTCAAATATAGGTATAGGTCCTGTCTGAAATGCAACTTGGGGAAATAGGGCAAAACATCCTGGATGATTAACCTTTTCCTTTTGGATCGAAATGCGAATGTCATGTTGTCTGTAGAGCATCTCAGCTCCTTGCCCTTTCAAATTCTGTATTTGTTACTTTTGGTTTGCTACCAAGACTCTTTCAGATAAAGGCACAAGGGGTCAGTGTTGCTGCACAGCACAGTTTTCAGTGAAAGGGTGAAAACTGTGCTTCAGTCGAGAGATTTATTTACTTTAATATGGCCAGTTCTGAGAGGAGTGTGAGCCCACAGCACAGACCAAAACAGGCATTCTAAGTCAGAATATGTTAGTATCTTCTGTGCTTATATCAACAGAAACAGAATTATTAAAGGATTTTTTTCAATTTCAGTGTTTATTAAGGAATAGTTAAACTCAATCTCTTCTTAGGTATTATGAGTAAAACTTGAACTTGTAAATAGACTACAGATGTAGAGGGAGATGTAAAGTTAAGCAGGAGGAACAATGCATTATGAAAGGGTTTTTTACTATATTTATACATCAGAGAAACATATACATGAAGATGCAGCGGGATACAGTACAGTCATTCACTGCCGTTACACAGCAGTTTGAATTCTGGCTCCAGATCTAGATCCACAGCTTCCTTTGGCCAGCTGTCCTATCTACTGACCTGTCACTTAGAGCATCACCTAATTTCAGACTGAAGTGGAAGGTGTAGGAAAGACAAGCTGAGCACAGTGTTCAGGGAAAATTGTTTTCAGCCTGTCTGTTGTATCTGTCAGAAGTACTCACTCCTCTCCACTGCATTGTTTGTTAAGGTCCTGGAGAATAGTTATTCTGAACTAGATTTAGTTTCTCTTCCTAATAGCTTCTCTTCTTAAAATTGTCCTGCAGATGAGAGCAGGAGCAGTAACAGTAACAGCCTTAGGAGCAGCAGAGTAGTGGCAGACTAACAGCTCTTAACAGGTCACCATGTCCTAGCATGACCTGTTGTCACTTCCACTGTTTCAGCTGGCCAGTGGCATACTTTGTATATCCATTTGGCTTTGTTTTCTTTAATTTGATTAAAAATCCTGGCATTTTAAAAGTAGTAATTAAGGACAATAGACAGAGATAAGCTCTCAAAATGGGGACATTCCTCCCTTCAGAGACACGTCCCTCATGAAGGTTTCAAAATGACCTCTGTTAAGTTTGGTCTGAACCAATACTTCACCCTAAGAATAACATCTGAATACTTCAGAGAAAAATTTTACTTCCCTTTCTAATAATAATGTGTCTTATAGAAGATAATTTACCATGTGTATTATTACATGATTCTGTAACTCCATGAACGGCCCACAAAAAAGGGAAAGTACTCATCAGTGTGTAAAGTCCTGAGAGTATCTTTCTGACTAGTCAGGATTAGAGTCCTTAAGATGACTTTGCAGAAACATTATGAAAATCTTTTTTCTTTTCTAGAAACGGTGTTCAATATCTATTAGTTGCAACCCATCAAAGCTCTGGCTTCTCGTAATTCTCCTCTACTATACCATGCTAGGTGTGTGGTGGGAAACCCTGGACGCACTGAATTCAGTAGGAAAACATGTCCATTTACATGCATATTAGCAAGTATGAATAACCCACCTTTGTACCTAATTATTTGCTTGGCCAGATGCGTGGTTACACACAGAAATTTAGGACAGACATAGTCCGTACATGGTTTTGGCACTGTCTTGCCACTTGGGACCTGTTTCTTACCTAGCATATCTATCTTACACTTAACTGTCATGTTTGCATAGTCCTAACAAAAAATGTCCATGACAGTGCCAGTAACCTGACTGTTCTGGGTATCAGCACCTGTGGTGTTACTGCAGATAAGGATACACAGTACATTTGTTTTTTCTGTGTGTGGAGACACCGCAGCCGCCTGGAGACATTAGCCTGGCATTAACCCAAACTCATGTTTTCTGCACTGTACTTCATGTGGTTCAGTGGGACTTACTACTTCAGGTTTGGGGTTATGCTATCAGCAGCTTCTAGCTTAGTCTGGCTTCTGTCTGTGCATCCTAGAGTACACTGAGGGAAAGCCTGCATCTCTCTGCAAAATACTGTGTAAGCATACCTGACGATATGAAACTACTTCCTTTCTGAGGTTAGTGACCTGCAGAAAGAGGAACGTTACTATTCTCACCTATGTTTTCTTCACATTTGTGTGCTTAAGTTGAATTTTTTATTACTGTGTTATTCCTACACTTCTAGAGCAATGAAGAGTATTACTCTTTATTGCCTTTTTTTGTCTTGTTATGTTTTTGGCAAGTGCATCTGTTGGTCTTTGATTTGGTCTCCTTGGCATTATTAGTAATTAGTTCTCCATTGTTTTTTCGTATTTGCATGGGATAATGTGGAGGTTTTTTTGTTTCTTTCTCTTTTTGGATATTAGACCCGGAATAACTTTGAAAGCACTAGGCAGGAAGTGGAGAGACTTATGCAGAGAATGAAATCAGCCAACCAGGATTATAGACCACCAAGTCAGTGGACAATGGAGGGCTATCTCTATGTGCAGGAGAAACGTGAGTAAAACAGTTATACCTTTAAATTTTATCTGAAAGGCACAGCAACAAACACAAGGATGAGAAAACAGTTTAGTTAGCAAGACAACACAACAGCTCTGTGTTTGAATGTTTGCAGACTTCTGCTGTAGATGCTTTCCAAATGATTGAGAAGTACCAAAGAAAATTGTTTCGCTTTTCAAAGGAAACTCAGAGTAGCTGCAGTCGGATGGAATGGTGATCAAAACAGTTGTAAGCAGCTCAGCTCTGAGCCCCTTGTGGGTAGGTCCCTGCTGCTGGCCACTCCAGTGGCTGACTGACTGGTAACAAGCTCTGCTCTGGCTGACCACCCTGTGCCTCGCTGCAGAAGCTGCAAGCTGCCAGCACTCTGCTTTGGCTTTCACTGCCAAACCTGGCTGTCTCCTGTACTTTCACTTCATGAACAGGGCCCATAGTTTGCTCTGCAGGAGCAACTTCTACCCTCTACCAGGGATCTCCACTGACCCAGCCACTTTAAGAGAAGGACATGCACATAACAGAAAACAGGAGTGTAAGAAGAAGAAAAGTCATTTAAATACAATCTGTCAGCCTCAAAATATCAAAATATCCTATGTTTTATTCACTTCATGGGACAGAAGAATGAGGTGATGAACTAAATGAAGGAATAAAAATAAAGTTGTCATAAATGTCTGAAAATACTTGGAAGAGCCTAGCAATATTTCATGTTATGAATGCAAACAGAACCAGGAAATATGTGAAAAGTCAAATGAGGTAATTCAAAACTGTACGTCACCTCAAGTATCTGCTGCCACTGTTTTACACTAACAAGCCAACCTAGCTGTGTTAGGCAGCATCATGCAAAACCCTCAGTAAAATAGTTTTCATTGCATGGATTACCAAGTTTATATGTTTATTTATGCATTTTTCTGTTTGCTGTGAAATCAGCCTGACACTGGAGAATTATATAGCAATATATAATGTTTTGAGATAGTTTGCATGTGCTTGTGCAGGTTTTTGACATTCATGCAAAAATTATTAGACAACTCTGCACCTGATTTCCCAATCTAAAAATAAATAGAAGGCACCTGCATATAGGCTGGTGTCAGACTTGACACCAGTCGACCTCAGTTTTGAGGATCTATTCTTCACTGCTCCCCTAGTAGATGATAACTCAAGAGGCTGCATGGAGTTACAGATAATTGATTTTACAAGTAACATCATGAAATTAATCTTTATTCCATATGTGAGCCAAAAGAAGGAAACCTCAATGCTTATCACAGTTTACCTCAGCCACTTTTACCCTCAGTAGCACTAAAAGTTTTAAGAAGACCCTCTATGTTTTAATTGAGTAATAATGATAAAAAACCCTGTGTTAAGTGGAAATTACACTGAGCCCTGCTAATGGGGGAGGGAGAAAAACAGTGAAGCACTGGGCACATGCTGTGCTTTATTAAATAGTGAGAGGTCAACTTGACATCCTCTTCCTGAAAAGAAATTTCTTCATTAGTTTATTCTGGAGTAAGAGTAACAGCGTCTGTAGTCTCTGTGTCGGGAGGAAGGTACTAGTTGTGTGTTTCCTTGTTGTGCAGGTTTACTTTCCTGCAAACCATCATCTCATAGGCTCATGTCAAATTTGGGTCAACTGGGTTAAATACTTGCTATTCTTGAGAGTAAAACTGAATCCTGTATATATTTATTAGTGATATGCATGGTGGTAAATACGTTTTTTTTGAAAAAATGGAAGTAGGCTGTAAAGTGTTTTTATTCAGATGGACAGTTGTGAGAAACAGCCTTAAAGTTGCAATGTAGTTTTTTGGCTACAATTTTTAATGAAAAACAGGTGACTTCTAATCTTGTCTGAAACTGCTTTGAAACTGCTCATTCTTATATATGCTGAAAGAATTAATGAAATGCCATCAGAGGAAAAATTGATTTAGCATTATTATAGGTTTTGTTTTGCTTAGGGAAAATAAGTGGCAGCATAGGAACAGAACAGCTAACTTGTGAAGCTGGGTATCCAGTTGCCTTGTCAATTCATGACAGTACTTCCCTGCGAAACACGGGGAAATGTGAAAACTTTTTCCGAATCAGCGTAACAGAACGTGTAAATTTCCACATCTCGGTTTGTAGCTTGCCAGACATCCCACCTGGGAGAGACTGTATCAGTCAAGTATATCCACGACCTTTGTGGATGGCTACGTTTGGAAGGCAAAGCCATTGTGTCTGTAGCAAAACTACTAGGCTTGGTTTTACCACCGTCCATTTTTATTTAACTGTTTACATTTCTTAAAAAAGCAAACACAAAACCCTTTAAATACTTTTTTTTTTAAACTCAGAGCTCTTTCATTTTTTAAAAAGAATTAAAAAGTCCACATATACTCGCTATATATAATATATACAAAATTCAGTTTCATATTTTTCACTATGAGTAACTCCCATTGAAGTGAATTGGAAAATCACATGTGGGTTGAAAGTATCTAGTCCTTTCCTATTCTGACTTTACACAGTAGTTGCAATATTGAGGTATATATATGTATTTTGCTTTGGCGCCTACATCTGTGATGGCTCTGCAGAGAGGGGCCATGTTTGAATGCCAGGCTCAGAAGCATAATGCTATCCAAGAGGAAAGAAACACTTTTCCTTCTTGGTACCTCTTCACAAACAGCCATTGTGTTTGGTCTCTGCAACTGAGTACCCAGAAGTTGTGTCAGTGCTAGTAAAATAAATGGGACAGTACTCTGCTACAGAGACCAGCTTGCACAGAACATCCCACCCTCTATGCTAAATTTCCTATCCTCAAAAATCAAGCAGCTTTGTCCAAGTTACCTATTGAGTAGGTGTTACCCAGTGACCATGAATGCTGCCAGCACTGTTCACTAACCAGTTCTGGTATAGCCATAATGTTCTGGCCCAAGGAGGAGCAGTCATACTGCAAAACCCTGAATCGTCCCATCCTCTGCAGTGCACCACCCCTCCAGACGTATCTGTAAGAGTCTGGGGAGCTTATCTGTGCTACAGTAAACATTTTTTTTTTCTCCAGAAAACTGTGGGAGATCTTTGTTGTACTTTAAGATGTGGAGAGAATTATGGAAATGGTAGGAGGACTTACTCTGTGTCCTCAGAGCAAAGAACACATTATGAATACCTGTATCTCAGCTAGGTTAGCGACCGAAGTTTAAAATGCCATTGAGCTTAAGCTCAAAAGGGTTTCGTGTTTAGATTAATGAATAAAGTTTCCCAGCAGTGCCTGACCAAAGCTGTGGGTAATCCAGGAGCGAAAACATCTTCTGCATCAGAAATCCTACACTTTGCGGTAGGATTAAGTGGTGTGGTGTGACCTCTCTAGACTAAGGCATACATCCACTTACTTGGGGATCACTGCAGATCTCATGTATTGCTATCTAAACAAAGACTGGTAAATCCTGAAGTACATTATACTTTGGTCTTGTGCGTGTGTGCAGTTGTCAGTTTGTGGACACTGTCAGTTGTGAGCTACAGGCACTTCTTCCCCAGCAGGACACCTTCCAAGGCATAAAAGACCAATGTTCTTGCTGAAAGTGCCACCTCTGCCATCCAGCACTTTACCCCTCATCTCTAAACCACCGTTGCTGTGTAGTCCACTGTGCCTTTCCTTCCTTTCTTCTTCCTTATTGAAATCACTCTCCAGTGTTAACTGCATAAGACTAGATCTGTCTCTGAGCCAGTGTCACTCTACCTACACCCTTAAGGTAACGGAAGAGTGGAGTTCCTATGATGCTACCAAAACCATTTGTTACCTTTGACAAGAACTCTGAAAGTTCAGGGAAAAGCACTCAGACTTCTTGACTTTGTCCAATTTTCTGGGTCTAATACCAGACTTCAGGATTTCCCTCAGAGAAGGGTTGTAATACTGAATCCTGGTGCTTCACTTGGGTTGATAAAAGTCTTCAACTAAATTCCCTAGGCAGAAAAGTCCTTAGGATCTTGCCTGTGTCCTGCCTATCCACCCTAGTAAAATGCTGTTAGCCATCCAGTTGCCTAAGAAAATCAGTCTGCCTGAACTTTGCTGGGCAACCCCATCAAGCTGCAGTATTTGAAAACTATACTTGAACAACATGTTCAAATTAAAAAATGAGGGGAGTTTTTGATTCTGATGCTGCCTGTGGATACTGTTATGTTTCGTTTTTCTGCACATCGTAACTCCAACTAAAATAGGGATAAAATGCCAAAATACTTATTTTTAATACTGTCTCTTTTTAATCTAGGACCTCTTGGATTTACATGGGTAAAACACTACTGCACTTACGATAAAGGAACAAAAACATTTACAATGAGTATAGCTGAAACAAAATCTGGTGGAAAAGTGGTGAGTTACACATGTATGAACGCATACATGAACTGTCTATGTCATCTTTAATATTAAGCATTCAGGAACTGTTCTAGAAAAAATGTGGTGAACAAAACATAAGGCTGTTTTGGTACATGAAGCAATGCATGTCTTATATAGCAGATAAATATTTAAACAATATTTATATGAAAACACACATAAACCACATATTAAATAACTTCTCTAATGTGGTGGTTGCAAATACATAGGAAATTAATCACATTTGCACAGAATCATAGAATGGGTGAGTTTGGAGCTCTGGAGATACATAGTTTCATTTCCATGATCAGTGCAGGGTTTACCAGAGCAGGTCACTGACCTGTGTCCTGTGAGGTTTTAGGTATCTCCAGAGATAGAGACACTGCAAGCTCTGTGGGCAACCTATTTCAGTGTTTGACTACCATAAAAAAGCTTTTTTTTAAGTTGATGGATTTACCTGTGTTTCAGTTTGTTCCCTTTGCCTCTTGCCCTTTCACTAAGAACCGCTGAGAAAAGTCCGACTTGGTTGTCTTTATTCCTTCCCATCAGGTATTTATAGATCAATCACTGATAAGATCCCCCTTCTCCAGGCTGAACAGTCCCTGCTCTCTCAGCCTCTCCTCATGACAGATGCTCCAAGGCCTTAAGCTACCTTAAGCCTTGGTAGCTCTTTGCTGGTCTTGCCCCAGCACACCACGGTCTCTCTTGCACTGGGCACAGCACTCCAGGTGCGCTTCGCCAGGGCTAAGCAGGGGGAAGGATCATCTCTCTTGACCTGCGTGCACTTCACCAGGGCTAAGCAGAGGGAAGGATCATCTCTCTTGACCTGCTGACAGTGCCGCTACCTGATGCAGTCAAGAGGCTGTTGGCCTTTGCTGCAAGGGCACATTGCTGGCTTATGGTCAACTTACTGCCCACCAGGACCTTCAGGTCCTTTTCTGCCAAGCTGTTTTCCATCCTGTCAGCCCTAACCTGTCGTGGTGCCTGGGTTTATTCTTACTCATGCTTAACAATGCTGGCACCAGTATTGACCCTTTGGGCATGCCACTAGTGTCTGGCTGCAGCTGGACTTCGGAGAGCTCGGCGGTTCATCTAGTTTACAGTCCACATCACCGTCTACTTATCTACCCTGTACTTCACCGGTTTGCCTATGAGGATGTAGTAGGAAACATCCTACTGTAGTAGGATCTAGTGTCAAAAGCCTGGCTAAATTGGAGATAAACAATACTCAGTCATCCATCATTGTTTTTCCATCATCCACTGAGCCATCCATCACACTGTAGATGGCTATAAAGTTGATCCTGCGTGATTTCCCCTTCATTAAATCCATGCTAACTATTTCCATTCACTTTTCTGTCCTTAATATGTTTGGAAATACTTTTCAGGATTATTCACTTCTTCACCTTCCCTTGGATGAAGGTGATGCAGACTGGCCTGCAGTTCCCAATGGGACAAGAGGAAATGGCCTCAAGTTGCAGCAGGGGGGGGTTAGATTGGATATTAAGAAAAAAATTTTTTCTCCGGAACAGGCTGCCCAGGGAGGTGGTTGAGTCACCATCCCTGGGGCTATTTAAAAGATGGGTAGATGTGGCACTAAGGGACATGGTTTAGTGGTGGACTTGGCAGTTGGACTTGATGATCTTAAAGGTCTTTTCCAACCTAAATAATTCTATGATTCTAAAGCCTTGTCCTTGATTTTCTTGAAGACAAGAGTGACATTTCCTTTCTCCTATTCCTCAGAAACTCCTCTGATTGCGTCAGACTTCCCAGCATTATAGAGTGGCTTCACAACAATGGTGGCCAGAACTAGGAGTTAATCAGATTTATTATTTAGAAATCTCTTTATGTACATGTGAGAGTTGATGAAATTATATGGTATTTGTTGTAGCACTAACACATAATCATGTTATATATGCAGATGTTTGTTAAGCTTTGAATTTAGGGTGTTTGCTGAAATATAATGATTAAATAACAAATATGTGACAGAAAGCTTTTAACTCTAGTGTTACTGTTACTTTATAAACAGAGAAATTGTTGTAAATATTTCTAAATAATTTTAATCCCTACCTTAAGGCATGTTCTTTGGACTGTTCATACAGTTAGATTTAAGACGTGAAGCCAACGTATATCAGCATACTGCCTGTGCTAATTTTGTTTTGGTTTGTTTTATAGAATGGCCTTGTCACAAGCTCACCAGAAATATTCAAGCTAAAATCTTGCATCAGGAGAAAGACAGATTCAATTGACAAACGTTTCTGTTTTGATATTGAAGTATTTGAGAGGTTTGATTTTTTTAATTCTTAACAAATTGAAAATAATTAAAAGTAGAAGCACTTGCAACCAATATATGATAATTACTCCTGTAATAGGAACACATATTTCTCAATATACTTTCAAGACTTAGTACTTATTTGTTCAAACCTGGTTTTCTAACAAAACTCACTACATTGCATATGTGTTGTCTTAACTACATCATGTTTGCACGCAGATGCAAGATGGATTCTTACAGAACCTGTAGCTAAACTGACTGTGGTCTTTCTAATAATTGATCATAAGTATTTTTATAAAGACTTACTAATAAGAATGTTCTGTACCAATCTCTATTTCTTTTGGAAATGTATGACAGCACATAATTTTACTTTTTTGAAAATTACTCCTACACTATTTTTTTTCATTTATTCCTGGATATTATACAAGGTAGATGAAAGCAGCATTTCTGTATTTGAAGTATATGTACACGCTACTTTGCAGAAGTATTTTTTTCAAGTTTGGGAATATAAAGAAATATTGAATTTATTTTTCCCTTATATGTTGGGCTATGGGTGTGGTAAATAGACTAACTTTCATAGTCGTTCACTTAAGAAATATTTTATGACTCTTGCTGTCATTTTAAATTCCATTCAGAACTGCTGTATTTACGTGATAATTTAGAGGCTACTTTGCTACTTTCGAATATAATGCATTATTTTTCTAAAATAGAATTCTGAGTGAGTTCAGGTTTCAGAAACAGAAATTTGATATGAACAAATGTTGAGACTATTTAGTCTCTTGAAAGCTCTTAAGCTTGAACTGACAGGTTGAGTTTGAAATTGGTAGCTGTTTCTTTCTAAGTAGAATTGCATTTATTAGACGCATCTGTGGCAGGACCACTGCAGGGTGTTCACAAGTGAGTGTTGTCCCTTCTCTCTCCCTTACTCTACTAGAGCAGCCATAGTTCAACAAAACTGAACAGAACAATTAGTTCCATCTGCAGTTCTTCAAGTTCTCATCACAGACAGTTATAGGCACTTCTTGCATATTATTATTGCTTTGGGACATTTTGGTTGATTACAAATGCACATGGCCTAGAAGTTAAAGGCATTTTAGTGACTTGAACAGAAGATTGAAAGGGTAGTAGAGTACAAAGTTACTTGGTCACTATTGAAAGGATGTAACCTTCATGGGGTGATAGCAACTTCACTTTTCCAATTTATTTGGTATTCAGCAGGGAAATAGTGAATTTTCTTACAAGGCAGCAGAGGAGAAAAATAGACAATGAGATACCTAGATATATTTGGTGGGTGTTCATACACAAGGGCTAAATTAATCTCTTCTGAATGTCATGTTGGTAAAACTTGGGTTTCCCCTAAGAAAGAGAAGATGAAGTGGCTGTTACTGATGTCAGCAATTACTGAGAATGTGAGAGAGTTCATATATATATAAACACAGTACTGGAATACTAACTATTCAAAAAGACTGATTTTAGATTCAAAACTTAGTGTTGTGTACTTGGAGTGTAATGTTGCACATCACATGCAAAATACAGAAATACTTGAAAAGTAATTGACATTAGTAAAAGATAAGTTTCCTTAGTAACATGAGGATATGACTTTTCATCACAAAAGCACTCTTTTCAAAAATGTGCAGCTACACCAGTCTTCAAAATTTCGTTGCAAGATTTTATGGGTGACTTCTGTCTTCAAACAACTTATCCTACAGAGCTAGTTCTCTCCTTCCATTATTATATGTAATTTTATATGAAATGTTATTTTATTATAACATTGCAAAACTGTGCAGACTGATGTGTACATTTCATTTTTTGAAAGAACCATGTTAACTGAAGGAAACCCTCATGAACAACTGGTGGAGAACACACACTGTGAGCCCTTCTAATTGACATAATTAATGTAAAATTTATGTAGGTGTTTTTCACACCTACATTCAGCTCGGCCTTCTTGTAAAAAGTATAATAGAGGTTACACCATCTTATTTGTAGAGGGCTATATACAAAGGGTACATGAAAAGGTGTGTTTCACCTTGAATAGAATTGCAGTACTGTTTCAGTAACTAGAGAGGAAATTAGTTCAAAACGTATTGGAGTTGTTTTGGGGTTTTTATTTATTTATTCATTTTGCAGAAACTAGTATTTGGGGATTATAGTTAGGTATTTGAGTATTAAAACATGGTATGCAGTGACTGCAAACTTGGCTAACAGATTAAATCAGAAAACCAGAATTTAAAGCAGGTATCTCTAAGCTTAAAATAAAATGTTACAATTGAAAAAAATAAAAAAAAAGTTTCTATTTTTAAAATGTTTTAGAGAAAACTTTCTAGGTAAAAACCTATAGGTAGGTAGCAAGATGGAAGATTAAAACTGAAAGAAAGAGTAAGAAAATAGAAAAACATTTATACATCTTGATCTGGATTGACTGTATCTTTTTACACTTGTGATAGTAGATAGCAAACCAGATACTCAGCTTGGCACTTTTACGTGTAAGGGCAGGACTTGGTCCTCCTTGAGTGGTCTGGTATATGTGTGTGAACACACATTTTGATATTTTATATTCTCTAGTTGTTTTCTTGCATGCTTTTGAAATAAAGGGTGACAATGTAGGTCTTCTGGAGAAGGTGGGAAAGGATGGTGGGGTTTTGGTTATTTATTTATATGGTGGAAGATTAATATGCAGTAAAAACTATAGTGTCCTTTATTTGTGAACCTACCATGTGAAAAATTAAAAGTTTTGGACAATCTGCTGAAAGTTTTGAGCAGAGATATGCTACACTGGTGTGGGAGCAGGACTTTTTAAAATGGGCTGCCTCCTGGGCATTCCGTGTTGGCAAATCAGTGAATTGATTTCAGAGCATTTCTTCAAGAACTCATTTGCCTCTGATCACAAATGGAGACTAATTCTTTGTATTCACATGTCTGTTCATGTCATTATTCCAGTAACAAAGATAGAAATTGGTTACCTCATCCCTTCACTGGTTGACATGACTCTCTTTCTGTGCAATGTCAAAGCATCATCAACAGAGAGGATATGCCACTTATTAAACTTCTGCCATAGTGGTTGGAGCACAACCAGCAGAAAGAACTAGTTCTTTGAATCCTGTCAAATAAAAAATTCCTGCACCATGACAGTACCCAATTCAATTGCTTTACATCTCCATACTTTAAATACTACCTCAAAGCACTCTCTTTAGGCAACCATTTTAGGGCACATTTCTTTTGACTGACTTTGGATGTCTGTTTTGGGATATGGTGACTTTTAGATTAAAAGAACCTACTTCTCTTCATTTCCTATGAAAGGAACATAAATAACCAGCTCAGGCATAGCATATTTAGTCAAATTTAGTTGATGTATCTTGCCCTTAAGTTTTCCACCCTAAGCATCTCCCCACTGAACAGGGTTGTATGGGATCCCTTTTGCAGGTGCATAGCTCATCTTGCAGTGTGGAGGTGCTAATACCACTTAGAGGGATGTAGCACTTAGGACTAGGCATCTAAAATTACATGTTGCCATACCAAACTTTTAAAAACACAGACCTGTTTTTAAATCTAGCTCAAAGTTACTGTGTTATGTCAGAAGCCAACAACTTTCTTTGACTCTCGTTTATATATTCACTTCATGTCAATATGTGTTAGGATTCTGACGTTGGATATTGTTTGAGGAAAGGAAATTCGTAACTTCATTATATGTGTGTGTGTTTGACAGACCTGGAATCATCACACTGCAAGCTTTTTCAGAATCCAACCGAAAACTTTGGCTTGAAGCTATGGATGGAAAGGAACCAGTAAGGCTATTTTTTCATTTTCTTTTCTGTTTACAGCTTTGTGGCACAAATACTAAGGGAAGAAACTACTGTGCATTTGACACAGTCTGTTACAGTACAGACAAATACAGTTCTGTTCTTTGTGAGACACTATTGCAAGTACATAGTGATGATAGGTACAAAGTATAAAAGCAGAAGTATTAGAGAATTTAAGCCTTTATATATTATTTTACGATAGGTATTTAATGTTTAAGTAATATGGTAGCACATTGTCTATTAGGATTCATGGTTCAGATAATATTTGTGAAGTGGTAGTTTCTGCACTGGTAAAGACAAACCATCTTTTGGGCAGGAGTAAGCAATTAGCACCATTTTGAAAGACGCTGCAGAGAGCATAAGATTGTATTGAAAGCTACTAAGACACAGACTTGTCTGAGATTTCTTCCCAACATTAATGTGCTCTTAAAATAGTCACTGAATGTTGGTGATGACAGGCCTGTGTCCAAGGGGAAAAAAATGATCGGTTTTATGAGATAGATGAGGTTTTTTTCAAACTTCTTGCTTGAATGAAACAGTACATAAATGAGATCAGTAACTGTCTTGATATTTAACCCATTTGGAGTCTGCAAGTCTGACTTGAACACATTTTAGGTGCCCATAAATTTAATGCTATTAAATCCCTAGTCAATCTAGAATCTCAAGGCGATATTCAAGAATCTGAATAGGTGTCTGGGACATATCCCACTGGCCAGTGGTGTAAAACTGCGAACACAGCCAGAACACTGCATCGTTGCCCTCTTCACCTGCACAGATCCTAGCACAGGGCTGTTAAACTGGGTGAGTGCTGTGGGGCTGAATGGCAAGAGAAGGTGGAAGGCAAGCCAGTACACAGCATGCTGCAGCTAGCTTAAGAGCTACCAATAAACCTGGTGATAAAGAATTTAAAGCACAAATATTGACCTGTTGCTATTTTTTTACAGATCTACACACTGCCAGCCATTATTAGCAAAAAGGAAGAAAGTAAGCTCTTCATTTCTGTAGAATTGCCAAACATTGCTAGATCTATGTAATGTCTTGTTTTCTAATGTCTGTAAGAATAATTGCTTTATAATTTCTTTCTATTGCTATGAAATAACTATCTTTTTGGTTTACATGATTGAATTGCACAAAAGCACATCATAAGCAATGTAAACTGAGAAAGCCTTCAACTTTTGTATTACTATCAAACAGAAATTGGGATAAAAAATGATTGGCTCCAAAGCTACAATATATTTAACAAATCTGTAAAAAGTTTGTATCAGTAGTCTGTATACCGAAATGTAAATACATGCCAGTGTGTTGAAATAATATCCCTATATAGAATTACTTAGGTTGGAAGAGACTTTCAAGAGCATCGAGTAACAACTGCAAACCTAACACCACTAAGCCATGTCCCTAGGTGCCACATCTACACGACTTTTAAATACCTCCAAGGATGGTGACACCACCCCCCTGGGCAGCCTGTTCCAATATTTGACAACCCTTTCAGTGAAGAATTTTTTCCTAATATCTAATCTAAACCTTCCCTGGAGTAACTCGAGGTCACTTCTTCTTGTCTGATCGCTTGTCACTTGGGAGAAGAGACCAACACCCACCTCTCTGCACCCTCCCTTCAGGTAGCTGTACAGCGCGATAAGGTCTCCCTTGAGCCTCCTCTTCTCCAGGCTGAACACCCCCAGCTCCCTCAGCCGCTCCTCACAGGACTTGTGCTCCAGACCCTTCCCCAGCTCAGTTCCCTTCTCTGGACACGCTCCAGCACCTCCATGTCTTTCTTGTAGTGAGGGGCCCAAAACGCATCACAGTATTTGATGTGCAGCCTCACCAGGGCCCATTACAAGGTGACAATCCCTGTCCTAGTCCTGCTGACCACACTGTTCCTGATGCAGGCCAGGATGCCATTGGCCTTCTTGGCCACCTGGGCACATGCCAGTTCACATTCTGTCAACTGCTGTCAACCAACACCCCCAGGCCCTTTTCTATCAGGCAGCTTTCCAACCACTTGTCCCCAGACCTTTTTGATTTGCAGGAGGTTGTTGTGACCCAAGTGCAGGACCCAGCACTTGGCCTTGTTGAACTTCATACAGTTGTCCTCAGCCCATCACATCTTTTTGATTTTAGGTGTATATACACACCTGTTTCACATACACTGAGTAATAAAATTAGTATACTTTAAAATACAATCAGATTTATGTGCATAATTGTGTTAACACTGTATTAAGACATATATGTTATTAACAAATTATTTTTACATATTGGTGTTAATGTAATATTAAATATATATGTGTGTGTACGTATCTCAGAGAGAGAGATGTGTCAGATATGGACTTACATGTTCACAGGACTTATATTCAAGACTCTAGAAATCTAAAATTTAAACCACTACATCTGGTTTTTATTTTAATTAATTTTAATTATTGTTATTAATTATGTTAATTTTAATTTAATTCTAATTTTTAAATATGCTGCTTTAAGATCTTCTTTATTTAGCTAGTTAGAGCAGTGAGCACTGAAGATGCAAAAACTAAGAGAAATACATTCACTGGAAATAAGCTCACTAACTGAAGTTAACAACAAAGATAGGTTTTGTATGTTGCCATTTTATGAGCAGTTATGTGCATGTGCAAGGAACAAAGGATGTTGTTGTATTAAAACCAACAAGTATATTCTGTTCATAATGTAGGGCGTGAACTCATAAAAGCATTTTCCTGAGCAGAGGGAAGGGAGTACAATAATCTCTTATTAAAGCAAGAAGCTTGCAGCTGTGTGTGTAGAGGGGCTACTGTTGTCTGCAAAAGACAGTAGAATATTCTGCTCCTAATGATACACTAACGATTAGGCAGTTGGATTTTGAGTGCTAAGGATATATCTACAAGAATACCATTGCAGAGTAAGTCTCAGATGTCATGGATAGATGTGTATCAGTCCTGTTAGACTAATATGTGAATATAGCCATACATGGAGATTTTCTGTATTGATAAATTAGAAAAGAATTACCTTTTTTTCTTCTTTTTATAGTGTTCTTAAATGAAGCAGGTTTCAACTTCGTGAGGAAGTGCATTCATGCTGTAGAAACAAGAGGTGTGTACTAAATCACAAATTAAGTACTAGATCATTATGAGTATTTTTTCTCAAACAATACTGTAATTACTTCTGCATGTTTTACAGCTGGGCTTTGGAGTGTGTCCATCATTTGGTTTGTACTTCACACATTTTATCTGTGTGCTTTACACTGAACTGTTGCCACAATTTCCAGCAACAGTTCTTAACATATCACTTAAGTGAGTTTTCATTTCATGCTGTTTAGACAGCTTAATACACAGTTGCACACATCTTTAGTCTTTAATCTGTGTGCATGAAATTGTGCTTTCTCGTGGTAAAACTGGAGGGACCCTCAGCTCCCAACTTTGGTTTCTGGCGTGAAACCTGAAGACCAAAAAGTGGCATGAATACTCTCTGCTGGAACATCTTTTTTGCAGAGCATAACTCCTATTAGTTTATTCACTCATTTTGTACATGGTTAATCCATTTTTTAAATGTTTAGAAACTCATTTTTGGTAGTGGGAAATGTACAAAAAGAAAATAATAATCACTCTACTGATGAGGTGGTACAACTCACAGCAAGTTTTTAACGATCCCCTTTCAAATGAAGAGGTATGGCTGTATCATCTTCCATAAAAAGAGGTAACCTTTTCCTGCCCATGCACTGAACTGTCAGTATGCAATTCTCTCCTAATCCGAAAGCTCTGTGGTCTCTGTAAAACATTGACCTCAACATTAATTCAATTTGTCAGGTAACAGTGTTATGTAGCTTTTGAATCACGGCTGACTCAGAGCCTGCATTTTCTTTGCTGTGGGGAAAGA